CATTAAAGAGATTGAAAATGACATAAAAGTTTGGCCATCCTCCATTCACCCACAACACTCAGTACAAACTTTTTTCCCTCTTTTTCATTACTTTTGGTGCAAAGCGTATAGGGATCCATGCATAGGATATTCATCCTGAATATTCATAGATATCCACTACTCTGGGAAGATAAAATAAGGGGCAGTCTATTGAAGGATACAAAAAGGCAGCAGTTCAGTAGCAATCATATATCAATTTTCTAATCCAAAATACTGCTTTAAACCATGGACCAGTCAAAAGTAGATAAAAATCAATGAACAAGAGAATGGAAGATTGTGATCATCTAAATGTTTGTTTTTGACACTTTTCCGTGATCTAAAGTGATCTGCTTTCATGCACAAAGTTGGTAAGAAGAGAAAATAAAAGAAACAGATGAAAAGAGAGAAATGTTGCTTGTCAGACACTCAAAGAAAATCATATGTTTGCCATACTTGGTAAAATGATCAAACATTCTTGTCCGTTAGTTAGATATAATCTTCAAAATCCATCATAAGTTCTTAACTGGCTCAGATACCTCTTACTCTATTAGAGCAGCTGCCATCTTCTTTGGGATGAGTTCTACACCAAAGTTAAGGAGATAATCTAGGTAGTGTTTCCTGAAAGAACAATTGGCACTTGTGTGAGATAACACCTTCAAGAACGATGTATAGAAACTAGAAAGGGACAGTTCATTAATATTGGCGAGACAAGTGCAAGGGAATGCCCACTTGGCTAAATCAAAGTTATGAGCAAGATAAAATGGTGTCCAGCCTAAATCTAGCTACATGAAAGAGTTGACATCACTGGCCAGCATATTGCATATCCTAATTACTTTTGGATAAAGCAGCTTTGTGATTTGATGGCGATAAGCATTAAACCAGCTATGGCAAGGTGGGGAGAGAATGATAAAATCGAGCAAATAAAATAGAAAACATATGATTGCTGTCAGAAGTTTATAATTTCAACCAGAGCTAGGAACAGCACTAGCTTTCTAGCTGAAAGATATGATATTAGATGGAATATGAATTTTTATCCTTAATTACACAATTCGAACAATAAGGCTAACTTCTATTGCTTGTAATACTTCCATTTGTGAAACTGCATGATACAAGACAGTTCAAATTTCATGTGGTTCAACTTCAGCATCATACATGGATAATGACTTTTTTACCAATTTCTACAAGAGAAAACATCATTAAGCCTGATAATGTTGTTAACAAGAACAAACCCTCAGAAATGATCTTTCTGCCGGGCGTTGAACAAGAATCTGCAGTTCTCAAAATCAGTATCAGAAAACAAAAGGAAGAGAGTAAAATCTAGATGAGCTTTTTCTTTTGAAAGAAGCGCTGCAGGTGCCATAGCTGCAGAACTGAAACTACAATGCAGACACCAAGAGACATGATACTGAACCATGCCACCCTTGCATTTGTTCTTTCACTGACTTCCCTCATCTCTGCTTCCCTGTAGGTACCCAAGAAGGTAACGAAAATGTCAATTGAAGATATAATTACCAAAATAATGTGTTTTTGGCTCTATTATTCTAAACAAATTAAATCAAACTTCATCAAAACATAAGTAAATACATATACCTGTTCTTAAGATGGATTAAATTTCCATGTATAGCTTCCACTACTCCCTCAAGCCTCCTCAGAACAAGTTGGACTCCCTATAAAAGGCAACAATAGTGTATAATTGGAAATTTTCAATAGCATAAAAACCTGCTCATGAGATCAGGAGAGAAAGTTGATAAAAGTTCTGACCTCAATCTTTTCTTTCTTAGCAACCGATTCCCAATCCTGAGCAGCAATTCCAATTTTCCAGTCAAGGCCAAGAGTTAAACTTGCACCACCATGTTGATGACTGGAATCCAGCCAGAAACAAGCTTGATAGTTGCCTGTCTCACTGGTTGTAAATGCAAATTGACCATGACTCACATTTTCATTGTGGTGAAGATTGTTGCCGAAGGGAGATGTTACCTGAACAAAGAGACAAAACCCCATAAGTTAGACAAGAAAAGTTATATTTCAAGCTTTCTGAAATCATGCTTTCTTGGAACTATTAAAGAATGGAGCAAGTCTTTGCCTTTTTAACATGCCAAACAGGTAACATGACTACTCTTAGAGAGCTTCACTATTAGAGAATTCACTGGACACATGAACATTTATCGCCAACCATACAGGAATGGATATGATAAATCAGACAATCTCAAAGTCTTGAAGTCACATTGGCTGTTCCCTCTTTGCTAAATCTAAAAGCTTGCCAGGGAGCTAATACACGGCCCATTCTAGCTTGGGGATAAATGATCCATCAACGTAATAATGCAAATTCTGGATTCACAAGTTCTTCATCTAAGTAATAATGCAAATTCTAGACTCACAGATTATTCATCTAAGTCCAAGTCTCATGACAATTGCATAATTTCAATAAAACATGATGAACCCATGATAAACAATTCACTGCACATCCATATATGAGCCCAATCATTACTATAGGAAACAAAAAGAGGAAAGACTAAAAATTTCTGATGAACTCAAATTGTTCTTAATTATAGAGACTTCAGGAAAAAAAAAAAAAAGAAACAGTACCCGGGCTGAGATGGTGGGGATGTGTTCAGGGTTGTTTTCATCGATGACGTAGTAATCCGTCAAAACAACGACGTTAGTCTGGATTTCCTCCGAAACGCACCTGGTACCGGAGCCGGGAATCGTCAACCATATAGCCTCCGCGACGGGGACAAGATTGTTGTTACACGTTAAGCATAGCAACAAGAACAGTGAAAAGAATACTGTTCTAGCCCCGGCAATTAAGGCCCTCGCCATGGCGATTGAAGGAGATGGACTCTGCTTTTCTTCTCTTTGTTGGGTTGGTTGGAGTTGTGGAGGCTCGTTTAACAACAG